CTATTGGTAGTGTGATGTTCTATAACATAACATAATAGTCTTCCTCGGTAAATTGACTACCTATCCCGTTTAAAGAAATAAACAAAGATACGGATCAGCTTTATAATATCAGGATAGATTATTACATTTTTGTCATTTTTTATTTTGATTAAGTATGTTGATAAAAATATCTTACGAAAAAGTTTCTAATGAACTAGAAATACATATGAATGGAGTGGAACATTTAAAAACAACATTGAATTCCACCTCTATCACATATTGTCAAATATTTCAGCTACATATGACTACTGAGTAACATTTTTTGTCAGTTAACAATTAAACAATAAATGAATGTTTGTAATTAAGCCAAAAACATCTTTTATATATTACCAGCATATAAAAAAGATCTAGTTGAACCCGAAATTTCCTATCTGGCTTCGCTGAGAAGAAATGCCGAAACAAACTCATAGATCACTCTCTTTTCAAGTCCAAAAACCGAAGTTCATTATATCACGAATAGGTCGGTTCGACTGGAGTGATACCACGGCCTCACAGAACCGGCGTGAAACAACCACAGCGTTGTGTTTCGCCGTGTGAGTGAGGTTACCGAAGGCCCAATCCTTCCCCTCCCCCAATCCCTCCTCAATCCCTAAATCTCCAAATCCCTAATCCCTAAAAGGTCGACAACGCACTCGTAACTCCTCCGTTGCGGGTGTCCATAGGCGGCGCGGATTGCTTACCATCGGGTAATCCGTCTGCTCGTTTGCCTACCTATTACATAAAAAAAAACATGTTTTAAAGGTTATTGACTTGATACTACGGTTGCACTGCACTACCCTTTCAATTTAAATTTTTAACACAAAAGCCTTTCCCACAGACTACATTAATTCCAAAATGATAGACTATTAGTAACAATCATTGTATTGAAACCTATAATTAAAACTAATTTAACAAATTTCGCTTTCATTTTGGCTATAAGTTCAACTAGGAAGAATTGATCGCAAATAGCACTATCAAACTGAACTATTTATATTTTTTAATCCCACAAAATAGCATGTATAAAATATATCTTTCGACGACATTGATGAAGTGGGAAAGGTATATTGTTATTTGGTGATTTGTTGTCTCTCTCTACTCTACTTATCAGAAAGTGACGTGGCGATAATGGTTATTCATTACCTAATAAGGAGACTAAGCTTATGATTGTGCCAGTCATAACAAACAATCATCTTTTTATTGAAAACTAGCGACCTGTCCCGGCTTCGCACGGATGCAATGCAGGTACTAAATATGTCCAAAATTGTCCACTTTATAAACGTGTTCACTATAAAATAGAGGTGTTTTTATACATAAACCTTCCTCTTCATAACTCTATCCATTAAAAAATCGCATCAAAATCTGTTGCGTAGTTTTAAACATTTTACCGTACATAGGGATCTAGGGACAGAGAAAGCGACTTGGTTATACTTAAATGCTCTACTAGTCAGATGTTTCTACTGATCTTTAGTTATTCTCAATAACGTTTGTATGTCTCACGACAGTTACTATTCAAAAAACGATCCTCTTGTTTCTCTTCTATTAATTCACAGCTTTTGGACATAAGTTAGCAGTTACTAACCTTCTAGAAATAAAATCTATAATATAAATTCGGTTCCCCGCAATAACAAGACCAATTTAAGTTGGATAATTAAGTTTTCCGTCTGTTAAATTTTAATGAAGCCCGTAATTAATCTAACATAAGCAACTTATTCTACGTTGGGTAAACCGGGATTTAAAAGGGTGAGAATCTAAAGCCCGTCTTCTACGAAACTATGTGTTTACCTCCTGAACTAGAAACCGTATATTGCCCTTTAAACTTTAATATTATTTATTAAGGTATAAAATAGAAATAACATAATATACCAAGTTCGGATATACGATGAGTGAACCTTAAATAACGAAGTCATATCATACATTATTTTTTCTTACATCTAATGGAATCCGTCCCACGTAATACGGATGAGTCTATTCGTCTTAAACCGCTTACAGTCGAAATACCTAAAAACTCAATGTTGGTAAATCATACTTCAGTACCAATACCAATGGACCGGGCTCGACCAGAGAGATATCATACAGAAAACCGGCGTGAGAGAATCACAGCGTTGTGTTTCGCTGTTTAGAGTGTGGGTGGTGACCTATCCCCAATCCTCTAATCTCTAACTCTTAACAGGTGTGCAACTCGTAATTCTTCGGTGTTGTATGTGTCCATGGACGGCCCCAATGCTTACAATTAGGTCCCTATACGCTAATATGTGTTCGATATAATAAAAAAAAAAAACACTTCCTCATCCAAAATTCACAGTTTAACAGTCACATAACCACGTTACCAACAAGATAGACGTAACTCCAGAACTTAGAAAGAAATCTAAACAGCAATAATATCTTCATAGATCACTGCAACTACCAATAGAGAGTGAAGCTCTTAAATTGGACACGGCTAATCTTCACGCGTATTACGTCCAGAGCGACGTTAATTGTAAAATTAAGTTCTCAGAGTGTACCGAGCAGCCGACTCATTCATCTGAGTCTGGCCAAGGCGAACGACACCCGGAATCAAAGTGATTCTGTGGTACAAGTCAATGAGAATGAGCGACACACCGCCCTCTAAGTCATCTATATTTAACCCGATCCTTAACAATTGTTTTTAGAACAAAATCGTTACTAAGGAATAGTTTAAGTAATCATTCAATGTCTCTAAGTTAGGCAGTAAGAAAAACGATTTTTGGTTATATATGTTTCATGTACTTTTGTTAAAAATATTCTTGAGCAGATCTAGCTAATTCTTAGATCTAGTGATAATTCTTAGATCTAAGATCTAAGTTATTCTTAGATCTAGAGATAATCCTTAGATCTCAGATGTAGCTAATTCTTAGATCTAGAGATAATTCTTAGATCTAAGAATTAGCTAGAAAAATAATTATTTTCTCGGACTACTTGGATTTCACAAGTCTGTCGACATTAAAAGTCTTACATTTTCCTGGTAGACTGACTTTTTGTCTTTCCTATATATTGCTATCATCAAAGTTCAAAAACTCTGAGCGTTGTTCCTCAGCCTTGTTATGTTAATCGCTTAATCAAACCTGTTTTTTCTCTTGGGGTGGTAAACAATGAATATTGTTCCAGTGTCACTATATGGCATTTTATTATATCATTTATGCACAAAATAATCGTCTACTTCGTTTAATTTAAGATCAAAAAGAAGACATTCCTTATATCTAAACTTGTTAAAATCTCCTTCCTTGTACCACACATTAGAAGCATTTATCACGTATTCTTCCGGCCGGCGATGTAACTGATGCGTCTCTAACCGAGTTAAGAGTGAATTAATTATAAAATCACACTGACTACTAGATTGTGAGACTAATTCATTATTGTCTTTTACATTTAGAAGGAAGAGGATGTACATTTTAGAAAGAAAATACGACGCAATGCCTTTATTTTTCCTATTTGGAGAAACATGGTAGAATCGTACTTAATATTGATAGTTTTAACTACATAGTTATTAAGAACTAGCCTCCCATATTGCCCCTATTTCTTAAGAGTCTTTACTAATGTTATATATTCGAAGGAGTTCATCTTACTATCATGTCGCAACGAAACGTTTTTAAGACAAGATTCTGGTCCAGAGATGTATATTACCCTAGGTTGGAAAGTGATATACATACTCAGTCTAAATAATTTAGTTCGACCACACACGGACGAATCCGCCGCCCGCCGCCGTAGCGAAAACTAGTGGTCACATAAAATATAGAGACCGTGCCAGATCAAAAGATCTTTGTTTATCAGTAGTCGAGTATATTACTAGTACCAACAAGGCTCAACTCAAATCGCTAGTAGTGCAATTACTCCTCTGGTGTTGCGGGTGTTCATAAATGGCTCCAATCGCTTACCATGAAGGCTTCCGTGCGTTTGTTTGTCCCATAAGAAGGGCAAGTTTTTTAATCAGCGCCGTTGTTGCTTCACAATTCCTTGCCTACCTAACTAGCACTACTTATTGAAATGTAGTTTTTTATACCTAATCCGGTTGACCATGATATATTTTAGGATGAAACCGGTTGAGCCTAGAAACTAGTTGCTACGTGTTTTAAAATAACTTATTATTATTAAAAGTAGTTTCCTTTTTTATTTCATAGGACGGATAGCGAGCATACAGTTTACCTGATGGTAAGCAATCAGCGCAGCCCATGGACACAAAAACGGAGAAGTTACGAGTGCGTTGCTGACCTTTTGGGGATTTGATAATGGGGAGGGTAAGGATTGTTACTCAGGTCCAACCTCACTCACACGGCGAAACACAACGCTTTGGTTGTGTCACACCGGTTTTCTGTGAAGCCATGGTATTAGGTACTCTGGTCGAGCTAGCCCATTTGTTCCGAAGCACGGTTCTTCCATATTCGATAAATTGTGGTTAAACTACTTTTAAAACTAAATTAGTTTATTTCCCAAGTTGTTTGGTATTCTGGACTCCATTTTTATGTCATTAAAGCTTTAGGTCATTTAAGTATTTTTTTACAGTTACCTTATCTATGATCTAAGCGAAAAGTCCTTGTGACAACAATACCGAGAAATTCCCTAATATTATTTGCGTAGTTGTCAATCAATGTTATCTAAAGATAATTATTTATAGTACATTTACCTACCTAAAACAAAAATACGATAAGATTAAGAAACAAAAATAGAAGCGACGAATGTGTCTACATATATGTACCTTACTTTACGGAGCATTATTAAAAACAACCCTTTAACATTCACTCGAAAGCAATAAAAGTAAGATATGTAAAGCTACATTTACTGAAAACAACCAATAATAGGAACAATTTCAGTTATTCATGGCGCTTGTATTATCGTGCTTCACGTAGTTGTAACTTCATATGCTCGCTTTTGTATTCCACCCAGTTTATGAACGAAATATCTCAGGTTCTCATACCAACAGAGCAATTTTCTTTTCGCTTCGACCCTAACGGAATGATTTATTGTTTCAGATGCCAACGATGTAGACTGAGCGAGTTCAAAACAGAACGGTGAAAAGTTTGACGAGCAAGTGAACGTTTTTGAAATTCCCATCCTTGTTTGTGCTGTGGCGTTTAAATTCCAAATTTAAAATGCGCGACGGCGATTGGCTTTTGCGCCGAGTGTTTATGTGATTAGTGATGTGTTGTGTCGATAGTGGTTATCGATAGTCGTCAAAATGGCGACGATGGATCTTACCAACGAGGTGATCCGCCTGCGGGCGGAGCTGGAGAAGGTGTCCACAGAGAGAGACATGCTCCTCTGTGAAGTCTCCAACTTGAGACGGGAGTTAGAACTGAGCGAGTTGAAACACTTGCAAGATGACGTCAGGTAAGTTATTATAACTTCATAATTTAATAAAACGTTCTTGGCAGGTAATATTCACATAGAAGATAACGTTCCACATACAATCTTTGTACATAACAACCGTTTCCGAGCAAACAAAGGGTGCCTTCGTCTTGTAGGTCCTTTCAAAAGCTCGACAGTTCGTCGGGGACCTCTCATGCCACAGACAATGATGAGGTCCAAGTGACATACCGACAGCAAACAACAGACATTTAAACATTAAAGCGATTTGTAGAAATTGTTCACTTTAATTTGAGAGCGATTCAATAGATTATGCTATCAAATCTTTTGCAATGGTATAATTATTTTGTAGTGTATTCTGACTGAAGATTCTTGGACTATTCATTTAATAAACATATCGCAACACAAAAAAATTTGCTAACACCAATTTAACTTTATTCAACCTTATAAACCTACCCTCTTAAAAATTATCGCGTCTTAACAATCGCCATCGCTCGCTACTTTCTCCAACCTCCCTCGCGTACCTATTACTCCCATTGTTGAGGAGGTTTCCGTCGACTGTGACGTCAGAAGGTCCTCCCTGACTTTGAAAAGAGTCTTTTACACAAGTCGACGTGAACACCGTATAAAGGCGATGTTGACGTGGCCGCGTATATCTCTAACGTAGGAACACAATGACAGAGAGATAGCTAATATAATTCGCGTCGTAGTTCGACGAATTATAAAGGTAAATCCGTGTGGTTTTGTCGAGTACGTATACCTAGAATAATCATTTAAGTGTTCGACGTAGTTTTGGTAGTGACGTGATGTAACGTCCATAAGAGAGTAGGTGTAACAATTCAGAGTTTGGAAAAGATTTAAAAAACTTGAAAATAATGGCTGTATTCTTGTCATCAATATTAACGTAGGGTTCTCCTAATGATTTTTAGATCGCAGTTTGCTACCACCAAATTGGGACATTTGTTTTCACCTTAACCGACTTCACTTCAAGACACTACACTTCACTCCAAACAGAGTGGTTGTAATCTTCATCAGAGGTGTAGAGAGTTGCAACATAATTGTCTACAATATTCTAACTACAAAACCAGAAACTCTAGATTCTGTAGAAGATAAAATATTGCTTCCAACTATTACCTACTTACTCAAGATATAATTAAGGCAACAACAAAGTAATAATACTGTTGCTTCGTTAAGATTATAGTTTAAAAATAATAACAGCTTGTCACTTGTCAGCGGTTATTGCATCGGGTATTTTCCTCAACTGACTCATTATTGCATGGGAAAATAAAATATAGTAGCATGCATTGTATTTACATCTTTATGGCTTCATCTTTACTTCAATAAATGTATATAATGTTGTTATGTTTATTTAAAGTATATTTTAATATGTTTCTGCAATGAGGATGTGGCTATGTCTCCGAATAAAATATAAAATAGGGCTTTGGTTCCAGTTCAAGTTGTAGATGTTCATTTACAATGGCGATCCCATTTCTGTGCAGTTCACAGTTCTAACCTTACTTAAACTACAATTCTGGTAGTGACTCGGTTTTCATGATAATCCATTCACCCTTAAACTTAAAGCCTGAAAGAGAAGCCATTCGATAGACCGACTAGTTCAGTCCGTTGCTGGGATGGCTAGTTCAACTATTTGGCTGCGACAGCTACACAATGTTGATAACTTACTGCACAGTAATAGCAGAAATGTTTGGGTAAATAAATGTCCGGTGTACAGTTGCAATGTTACAGAAAAATAATAATATGGTCAACTGTACTAAATATTTTATTTATTTTACCTCAGCTCTTGATTTCTGTGGCTTATAACTTGAAGAAGCCACAGGGATAATACTGTCTGCTTTTAAGATTCACCCCTGCGATAAGGACTTATTATGCATTAACCTTTGTGACTGTCTTGTTTTTAAATTTTCCTCCTTTTTTCTTTTGAATTTATAATTTTTCCCTCTTTTTCCTTAACGGTAGACAATGATCGACCGCCTATGCGGCATTTATGGGCCGACTCGACCGGAGTGATACCAAGGCCTCACAGGAAACCAGCGTGAAACAACCACAGCGTTGCGTTGTGGTTACTGGAGGCCCAATCCCTAAGTCCCCTTCCCCATTACCTAAATCTCCGAAACCCCAATAGGCCAGCAACGCATTCGTAACTCCTCTGGTGGTGCGGGTGTCCATTGCCATCGCCTATTGTTTATTAAAATAAGGTAATCTGTCTGCCGTTTCGTTTAATTTCGTGACATAAAATAGAATAGCTCTGTATTGCTCTAGTTTTTTAGAGAATTTAAATACATTGGAACCAGCGTGGCGTCATTTCGTATTGCAGTCAAATTTACATCAAATCATTAACCACCAAAGAAGACCATTTAAATAGCTTACTAAAAACAGTTAATAATGAAATTTATGAATTACTTTAAATAAATGGTACCTTCTAACTATAAGACTTTCTCCTTGCATTGCTTGATTTACATAGTTACCCGTGAAAGTGAAACCATAGTCATATGCTACTGCATCACGTAATGTCACTTGGCATATACATAGACATTTTATATATAAGTAAGTACATTACGTGTAGTTGCCGTCACGCTGTGTATTCAAGAAAAGCGTTGTGGGTAAGAGAACAATTGCAGACGAACAAAATGGCTGCCTTAATAGTGTTTATTGAAATAATTATTTTTATTTAGTAACCGTCAAGTAAGCGATTTTGTTAGGCTACAGATTACCTTCGGAAACGAAAATTTGTTCCTAATAATTGAGTAAAATTAAGATGAAATTACATGGGAGTTTCTTGCCCGTTCTTCTCCATTGGAATCTACAATTTGGAACTAGCAAATAGCATCTAGAAGAAAGAAAGAAAATCACAAACATAAAGCAAAAAATAGAAGATTCAAAAAATAAAAAAAATAAATAATTAAAAATAGAATAAATAGAAACAAAAAGGTACCTAAAATAACCAAAAATTAATAAAAAATAAAGTGTGGTGTGCCTCACAGCTGCGCCAAAAAAGGTTCAGTTCAGCATGTATGCCAGACAACTAGTGCCTGACGCTGGTTTTCAACTGAACCTGAGGTCATCTAACGTCCTTTTACTAAGAGGACTGACCGACAGACTGAAACTTTATAATATTTCAAATATTATTTGACCTTCAAAAGTGCCTGTTTGGTTTTAATTGACTTTTTTGACTTTAGACTTTTTCTGAAAGATTTGCCGCAGAATACTTGATTATTCACTATTTAAAGAGCCTATCATTGTGGTATGAATAAAAATTAACTACCCCCAATCCCTAGAAGATCACAACTCCAGTTCTGTGTAAAACTTTAACCAAAGCTTGCCAACTATTAATGGATAATAAGGGGGTTCAGTAATTTTCTCCTTCCTAGAGAACTGGCTATTTCTTCAGCCAGATAGTATTGTATTACAACAACTACCAGTTTTCTGGGAACATTCTCTTATGACAGGAATACGCATGAATAGTTTGACGCGACATTGTAGGGTTCCTTCCCCTGTTTTTTTATTTTAATTTAAGGATTACCTTCCAATAATTTCACAAATATTATGACGTCACAACACAACACTTAAATACGACTAACACATTTTCCGCTATAAATGGTCTTTCGGTACGCAGAAACCTAATCATTGGGAAATTATTTCGTAACGATAAAGAAATCGTGTGATTTTCGCTACGAAATATTGGTAAACTGGCCTTAGTGTCTATATTACCTTTATGGTGGGTGTGTAAAGCAATAAAATTAATTCTGCAACCCACTTGTGTTTTAATAAATCCGTGCCCATTATGGAGACGAAACAGACTTGATTCAGAAGATTAGTCTGTACTTCTTAATTGACCAAAAATGGTAAATAAAAGAATGGAGCTATGTTAAAACATGATTAATAATTTCTTTCTAGAACATCAATCCTAAACATACAAAGTAAAGCAGAAAATCAAAGTCTATCTTAATACTTGAATGGTAGATTCTTCTTTTCAATGTACTCTCCAGAATTTTTAAAACGTTCTTACATACGTATAAGTTCCTTCTACAGGGCACATAAGCTTGGCATCCACGTAATATCAAACTCTAAATACACTACCAGAGGCGTTTTATTTCCTTAAAAGAACTTAAAATTGTTTAATTTTTTTACTAATATCTTTTCTATATATTTTTCATCGTGTGTGTACACATTGTGGCAAAGAGAACAACCGCCCCCACCTATGACGTCACAAAGCTTGTTCAAAACGTGGGCAGGTTATTACGTCACATGTTTCGCGACCTTGTGTGGTGGACATTAGAATCGTTTTTTGATTGATAGTATACGAATGCAGTTTTGACATTATTAAAGTGATTTAATTCACGGTTTTTTTAAATACTGTGCCAGATATTACTTAAATATTGAACGACTATTCAGTTTTTTGTAGGAATTGTATGTTTGATGTTTTTACAAATAATTTAGAGTTATTTGTAATTTATGACGCATTTGCGTACGTAAAGACTACGTTATTACTAAGATTTGGTTACTATAAATAAATACGTGAACGTCTGGAACTGATAAATCATGTTCTAGAATTAAAATGGCAATTTTCTGTAACTATATGTATATAAAAAATAGTTTAACTTAATACAATATTAAGGACCAGGACATGAATGTATAAAATCATATTGATTAAGTACTTTGACTGACAGATAATGCTACTATATATAGTCTATTAGTTCCTCATTAGTATATAAATAGACCATGAAATTGCATAAACGAACAAAGCCTTGTAACTGAATTCCTAATAAGAGTTAATTAATTGAAGTCAACGAGAATTTTGCAAATATACAACCCACACACAACCTTCTACGGCTCAGCATTTGAAACCGAAAATATATTCTCAATTCGAGAATTATTTAAAACATAACTTATCAGTTAGAATATGCGGGTCTTGACATTGTTTTTCGTAATAATTTCAAAGGAAATACGATTCACATAATGTTATGTATAAAGGTACACTGGTTATTGTAAAAGATTTTCTTTTG